GCGTAAAAACAAGTTGCACTTAAAATGAGAAATTATTAGACTCTCTAAAATATGGACTACAAAAGTAACATATATATATGTATATATAGATTTATATATACATATGTATCATATTATCTTAAATTAAACTAATATAAATTTTAATTCTACGTATTATATCGTACTTCTATATGATATATTTTTATATTATGTTTATTTATTTCTGAAATACACAAAAGGGAATAAAACCATATGCTTACAGCAAAAGCATTGTTTCATTTACAGAAATGATTATACATTTTGTTGTTAATTGTAATTAGTTTATTACTTTAAATCTGAAAACTTAGAACATGTAATTTTAATTATCCTTTTTTAAATTTTTATTAGCTCTAAAATAATACTTACTATTTTTTTTAGAAGTAATGCGTATGTATTAAATTTAACAAGTGAGGAGTATATATATTTGTACATACAAGATAACTAAATATTCGAGTGTTAATTTAACGTAATATAATTATGTTATTTAAGGATTACATTAATATTCAATGTGTCTTAATTTCAGAATTATACAATTTATGAGTAAGCAATTGTATATAAGCAATTTTTGTAGTTAAACCTGTATAGTGTTGTAGTTAAAATGCGTTTTTCAGATTTAGCAAAATGTGGAAAATTTTCTCTGTCTCTTCATCTCATATTTTTTAAAATTATTAATCTGAAATATCTTGCGTATATGTTTTAATTATAATATAAACGAATATAAACGGAATTATTTTTTTTTTATAGAAAATGGTTGAGTTGGCTAAAGAGGTGAGTTTTCCAAAAATATATTTATTAAATATTAGATATTTAAAAATCAAAAACAATTTTTATAATATATCGTTATTAATGGATAATTGTTTCTGAAAAAGGCGGCCAAGTTCGTTAGAATAGTTGCGTAAAAACAAGTTGCACTTAAAATGAGAAATTATTAGACTCTCTAAAATATGGACTACAAAAGTAACATATATATATGTATATATAGATTTATATATACATATGTATCATATTATCTTAAATTAAACTAATATAAATTTTAATTCTACGTATTATATCGTACTTCTACATGATATATTTTTATATTATGTTTATTTATTTCTGAAATACACAAAAGGGAATAAAACCATATGCTTACAGCATAAGCATTGTTTCACTTACAGAAATTACTACACATTTTGTTGTTAATTGTAATTAATTTATTACTTTAAATCTGAAAACTTAGAACTTGTATTTTTAATTATCCTTTTTTAAATAATTATTGGCTCTAAAATAATACTTACTATTTTTTTTACAAGTAATGCGTATGTATTAAATTTAACAAGTGAGGAGTATATATATTTGTACATACAAGATAACTAAATATTCGAGTGTTAATTTAACGTAATATAATTATGTTATTTAAGGATTACATTAATATTCAATGTGTCTTAATTTCAGAATTATACAATTTATGAGTAAGCAATTGTATATAAGCAATTTTTGTAGTTAAACCTGTATAGTGTTGTAGTTAAAATGCGTTTTTCAGATTTAGCAAAATGTGGAAAATTTTCTCTGTCTCTTCATCTCATATTTTTTAAAATTATTAATCTGAAATATCTTGCGTATATGTTTTAATTATAATATAAACGGAATTATTTTTTTTCACAGATAACCTCGGGCTTGGTATGTTCTCCAAAAATACATTTATTAAATATTAGATATTAAAAAAATCAAGAATAATTTTTATAATATATCGTTTTTAATGGATAAATGTTTCAGATTGATAAGGTGTAGACAGTAGCATTTTGATTTATGAAGTTCTAATGGCCAATAAAGATAAACTACGCCAGCGCATCTTTTGTACTCGCAACTATCTCGGGATCTTTGAAAGAGTGCGATAATTCATAATCCGATGCATCCAAGCGTGTATTGAATCAAGTGGGCGATAATTCGAACATTTGTTTATAATTAAAATTTGAAATTAAATACTATTAAATGTTAATAAATATTACTTTATTTTCCTTTATTAATAAACATCTTAAGCTGTATCTCAGTTTCCAAAGCATACAACAAATCGTTAGTAAAATCGAAGTTAGTAAAAAAAAAGTATTTAAGAAAATATTTCGAATACTATAGACTTTATGAAAATTTCGTAGCTATATCAAATTGAGATGTTAATTTTTAATTATATATTTTAACAATGAGGAAAATATGTATGTCTCCCAGTGGCGATTTATTGACAATACTTGATTAAATGTAAAAATTTATATAATAAGTCATTGAAGAAGCAATCCCAAAGCATCTATTTACTCGAAAAACAGTAATTCTGATTTAAATAATACGATTATTATTTTATTTTCTAGAAACAGCAATGCTGTTTTTTATAGTTTTGAACTTATACTATTTTTGAACTAATCCACTTTTTATAATATATGTTTTACGTGTACGTGGTTACTTAACGTATTTCATTACAAAGTAATAAAGTATAAAGATATTTTTGCTATTCACGTACGCGTGTATTGCTACATATGTTGTTATAAAAAATCAAGACCATTAACTTATTCAAGGTCAGCAAGTAATATTACAAACATAATTGTGCAATACCTCGTGAAGATTATCGTTCTTCAAGATACTTCCCAGACAGCACAAAATACTAAAAGATAACGAAAAGAAGTCTTTTTTAAGTTGTCTTCTCAACAAAGCGAAAATCGTCTAAAGGACGACGAAAAGACATTGTTTTTAGATTGTCTTTTCAGCAAGACCAAAAGATGTCTATAAAACATATTTTGGTTTTGTCGAAAATACAACTTAAAAAGGACATCTTTTCGTCATCTTTCTATGGTTGTCATTTTCGCAAAACAAAAGGTCGACTGAAAGATATCTTTTTGTATTGTCGAAAAGACAACATGAAAAAGATATCTTTCCGTTATTTCATACTTTTTATCACTCATTCGCGAGCAATACGCGAAATCGCCACCAGATCCCTGATGAAAATAAAAATCACAGCGTAAGTCGAATGTAATGGGAGCGTAACAGAAACGTAAACGAAACTTCTACGAGGTGAAAATTGAAACATTAAAATGTAAAAGAAGCGTAAATGCTTCTTTTACATTTCAATGCTAAAAGATGTCTAAAAGATGTCTTTTGACTAAAAGATGTCTTTGTAACAATTTATAGTCGTTTTTTAGTCATCTTTTAGAGGACTTTGTGCTCTTTGGGTTTGTTAATTACTTTGCCAGTTATATTTAACTTCCTTTTTCTTGTTTAAAAAAAATCGCATTACCTTAAGTAGAAGAATACGAATTAAATACCCAGCAAACGAGAAATTATTGAAAAATGTTGAAATTTATTCATTGAAGATTCATTGTCGAATCAAGTTTTTGAATTTTTTAAATTCTTTTCTATCTGTAATTTGCTTGAATTAGTAATTATGGATTGGTTATTTACTTTCTGTATTTCATCCAATGTGCATAGAAAAGAAATGAAACATACGATCAATCCGGTTGAATCCGTAATTATGTATTGGTAATTTACTTTTGCTATCTTACCCAATATTCAACGCAATGAACTAATTTGTTTGAATTTAACGCCCGGTATTGAAGAATTGTCTAACATGAGAGACCCACCAAGTACTAGTTGCGATCTCGGCAAATGATATCGTTGAAAAGCACGCACCGAGGTAATATACATATGTTCTTACCTCCCAAACAAAAACTCCGGTGTGATATACATAGTGTGTAACATTGGATTCACGGCGGATTCACGGCGACAAGGTAATTTTTAGAAAAGGTGATTTCTAGACTCTGGCTACAATGCAGGTTATATCCGGGAGTCATACCCTGTTGCCGTGAATCCGTAATATTGTATACTCTGGGTATAGTACTAGAGCTCACTTGGGAAGAAATTCATATATCTGTGATTATTATCTTGGTATACATAAGTACTTTCCAACGATAAATCACTTTCTGGGATCGCAGACTACTATTTCATTTCTGAATCTATATATAAATCCACTAGAGTTCACATTATTATACTTATCTAGACGTATAGAAACGGATTCAGTGTATTCAGTCTCTACAAATTTCAATAATTTTTCACGAATTACGCGGATTCGAAAACTTGATCGATCATATGGATTTATCCAATCCGTTCTCGTTTGCTGGGTACATATAGGTAGAGTTTTTACTATATAAGCTATAAGGCCTATACAAGTAAAACATGTTGGAACAAAGTTGTTGATTAAATCAGCTAAAGTTTAGTCGAAGTAATTCCAACTTTTGAATTCGTGTTCGAACTGAAATTCGATATATCGATTGTTCCACGAGTGCGCGTCATCGAGGAAAGGGATCCATCTTTGTTCGCACTTCACGTGAAAGAGAAAACGGTTCAAAATGGCGACGTACTTGGCAGGTTTCTGTTGTGCAAAATAGGTTATCGGGTGGTTCCTATATGCGATAATTCAGAATTTAACGTGAAGCTAATAGTGCCGGAAAGTATTATGATTAGTTCCAGATAAGATTCGTGTACACGGCGCGTTTTAATCTCCCGTATTATCGCGCGCACCCGGAAGATAATGGCCGATAATGCCATCGCGGGCGACGACGAGCTCCTGAAAACTATTAAAACGCTTTTGTGGGGTTCGACCGTCAAGGAGGACGTTTTCAAGCGATGGGCGCAAGGTATTGAGGCTTTCTCGTTCAATACGGCGGTTATTTTTATGTAGACACAAGAATTTTATATGTATCACACTGATCCAATAGCCAATCATTAGCGTTAATAGTAACAATTTTCATGAAAGACAACCTGTGAAAATTCATTCATTTTTCCTTGCCCAATTATTCTCTATAAAATTATTTCCTTAACAGCAATGTACCATTGATTAAGTTGATAACTTAATGTTAAATAGTGCTCATATATCTCTTATATAATATATGCAAAACGTAACGTTATAAAGTTTCTAGAAATATTATAAATGTATTACTATATGTTCTAATTATGGTTACATTAATTTTTTTTGTAGGCTTCTACTTCAGTATAGATGAACCTACTGCGCTTGTACAGACAGAAGGAGGACCCTGCGCTGTGATAGCTGCGGTTCAAGCATTTATTTTGAAGCAGTTACTGTTGGAGAGCGATGTTATAACTTGGAAGGATATCAAAGCCGAAAAATGTGATCAATTACTTGTGAAAGCCTTGATTGAAATTATAAATCAGGCTGCTGATATTCAGGATCCTAAGTATTCAGTAGTACACGCCAATGATTCTAATGACTTTGTATCTAGCAAAGAAGGCACTGATTCTAAATCAGCGGAGCCAATGGCAAATTCAGCCCAAGATATTAGCGAAGGTAATCAAATTAACGAAACATCGGCTATCAAACAAGTGTCATTAGAATCAGAAGCTTTTCATTCTCAATTAAGGTAAGCTTGTACTAGAAAATAATAAATTTTAATAAATTTTAATTTTTTAATATTTTGCTATTAATTGATATTTTATCGATTGTTATAGGATATTTACTACAAATAGCATCGATGATGTAGAAGATTTCTTTACGGAACGAATTGGAATGTTAAAAGATCAATATGGTATATTACTTCTGCTTTATACAGTGATGTGTACAAAAGGAGTTCCGGAAATATGCTCTGAAATGTCAGACCCCACAGAACCCATGATCGATTCTACCTATGGATATGGAAGCCAAAGTTTAATAAATTTAATGCTTACTGGCCGGGCAGTTAGTCATGTCTGGGATCACGATCAAGACATTAGTGGGTTAAGTGAGTTGATTTTTCTTTCTCTTTAAACTTGATTACATTGTCATCTCAAAAAAAAAATTCTATGTATATTTTAATTTGTTCGTAGATAAATTATTCTTTCTACATTAGTACTTTATATTATGTATTTTGCAGAATTACGCGGTATTGATAAACAGAATACAGTAGGATTTCTCACTCTGCTAGAGCATTTACGGTATTGCGAAGTGGGTACATTTTTAAAATCACCGTCGCATCCGATCTGGGTGCTAGGATCGGATACGCATCTAACTGTACTCTTCTCTACGGAGAAGCGATTAGTGAGTCCAGAGACACCATCGGAACAAGCGCGAAGAATTTTCAAACGCTTTGACCCAGAAGGGAATAACTTTATCGCGGCAAATTTACTACAGGATGTATTGGCGGAACTAGGACTAGTAGCCGTTGCTGAATAGTATGTATTCGCGCTTTCTTAGTTTATATATTATTTACATTTTGGATTAATAGGTGTGTATGAAATTATTTATATTAAATTTGACTTTAATTTTAACTGTCGATAGCCTTAGCAAATTTTATATCGAAATGTTCTTGCAGTGTCGATATCATGAGGAAGAGACTGGACAGTGAAAATTTAGGAATAATACTTCTCGCATCGTTTATGGATGAATTCTTTCCTGAGGAACCATGTATGTGCCCAGATATGTTTGTCTTGTATCACTACAATGGTCTACAGCGTAGCAATCCGGAAAATAGAGTGAAATATCACAAAGGACAAGCGGTATTGCTTGAGTGTACTGTAAAATGTATCATGGATAGCAATCCTATGCTGACGGTCCTGCAAACGAAGTGGCCAAGGATTGAGATACAGTGGGACGTAGGACGAAATCCTAGTTTAAATTAGAATTTATAAACTGTAATATATATATATATAATGACCGAGCGCTTCTATAGAAATATCGTTGAGGATTACCACTTTAAGATCGTAGTCTAGTCAAATCGGCCATCTTCTGGTTTACATTGGTGAATACCGTAAGGCTATTGAGTATACTTGCCAATATAAAGGAATATTAATTATTTCCAGGGAAATGTGTAGTATTCGTAACACATGGTCAGTATAAAAACTTACTAACTTAATACGTACAATTTATTGTCAAAGTATTGCTTCACACTGACTACGTCAACGTGATTAAAGTACCTTATTTTCATTGAATATATATTGGACACAATTTAATTATATTCTTCAAAAGCATCTTAACGAAATTTCTCAGCACATTAGGATTTAATGGTGGTCGATTGCAAGTAATTTACAATAACACAAGCATTCTGTTATCTCGTGCAGTTTACTTCATAATGAAGATTTTCATTATATACGGAAAAAAAAACAAGTTCTATGTGGATTTTAATAAAGTTCATTTTGTTGTATATTATATAGATGAAATGTTACCGAGTATATTGTGAGGCATCATATTAACACTTTCCGTATATTATTATTTCGCAGTTCTTGCCATCAAAATTATTCGAATCAAAGCAGTATTTCAGAAAGCTCTGTTTTAAAAAAATTGTTAAATTAAATTTCAAGTCCCTCCTTTCCCGATGTAATAAAGATGTAATAAAAATTAGAGCTACGAATTCCCAAAAAATTGATGTGCTAAGTAAAATACGCGTGCACTTTCGGAAGACTACTTAATACATAATTTAATAGATATTTGGTCAATATTTATTTTATATGACTTTTGCAAAACTGCAGTTACAGTGTTAAATAATAAACTTACTACTTTTGAAATACACTTATCGCAATATGATTTCAACGCTTTGGATTAGTAATTAAATTCCTACGGTAAAGATGTTCAAAGATCAGCAGGAGTGACGAGCCAACTTATTTACCAGATGCATGTCTACACTCTACTATATTTTGCCCTATTACAGTGCAGTTGGAGTACAAATAATTTTATTTATTATGTTTTAAGACTAAATTGCAAAATCTGGCTCTGTAGAAGCCTTCGTAGAAGACTTCGTCAAAAAGGTCTGATAAAATATTTCTTCTACAAGACAATATGTGGAAGAATTGCATTGACTACTTTGAATATGTATTTATTGATTTATTTACATGATATATGAATCGGATATTACCTATAAAATTATTAAATATTATTTAATGCTATTTGCATTGTGTGTTGTAATGATATACCACAATGGTTGTCATAAAAGAAAACTACTAAATTCTGAATTATATATACATTTTTAATCACTCGCATCATCAACTTGATTGTCGTCTCCGCCGCTACCCACAGAACTTTCAGAAGTGGATTCTTCGTCTGAATCTTTTAGAATTTTTCCTTTAATATTCTTTTTAGGTCTGTGTGTTTCAATATCTGATCCTTCCTCGTCCGAAGAATAAATATTCGATGCTGAAATAAAGCGTTTTTTAAGTTACAAACGGATAGAATAAATTAATAGTGGACAGAATAAATTAATCTAATATAACAGGCAATGAAAATATAAAGATAATATATCTTGAAGTTAAAAGATATTACATTTTACAGTACAACGTAAAAAATATTAAAATTATTTTTTTGACAGAAAAAATATTAAGATCATGTTTTAATAATGAATTAAAATACAAGTTCTCTAATATAATGTAATGAATATCAAGTAACCTTTAGAAGGAATCGCTCCTTTTTTATATTTATTTTTTATGGCTGCTAATGAAATTGCACCATCATCATCGGAACCATCATCGTGATAAGCATCACCACTGTACGCTCCTGTAGTACGATTAGTATTTCTGCTACCACTAGTACTTTTCTTCGTTTTGTTTTGAACTCGCATAGCCATACGTAGCTTTTCTTCCTCTTTCTAAAAAGAAAAAATAATTAAAAACATTAGAATGCAATGACAATCAATTTAACCTAATGCATATATAGAAATTTTAACATGTACAGTATACACATACCTTTATCATTTCGTACCTATTCTGATCTGGGTTCATTCCCACTTGAGAAAGAACTTTAATACCAGATGTCTTTTGCGATCTATCGGCCAGAGACATAGTCATCTTCCTGTGTGTGAACGATTCAGTGGAATGCGGCCGGAATGTTAGTTTTGTTCGAAATACTGCTTGACCCTGTAGACCTGTACCTTGGCGAATATAGAGATGGTTGTGATCGCCCTGTAATGGCTGTTTATACACATCGAAAATTTCTGAACCCAAATGCAGCGACATACTACCGTCCGACCACTTAACGAATCTCGCGTTACTCTGTTTCACCATTTTGCCATCGTCGCTAAATGATTCCTTCCACCTCAATGTATTTTCAACTTTGAGCTTCAGTCGAGCACGACCTTCTTCATCTAGAGTTTCTTCTTCGTCAATTTCATCTTCGTAGGTATCGTGATCGAATGGTCTTGTTTCGACAGACAAGAAATTCGGCAATTTCACAAAGTGAATCTCGCGTCCTAGATCGGTAGTAATTTTCGGGATTTCTACGTCAATTCGAGTCTCTGGAGGTGGTTCTGGTTCTTCCTCCTTATCTTTATCCTCCTCCTGCATATAGAATAAATTTAATGTTAAAACATTTACAGTCTTGTCAAAATCCGTTCTTGTATGAAAAATAAGTGACATTCTAAAATCATTTTAAAAAAAAGTAAAAACTTGTTTAGTTAACTTACGTCTTCGATAACAGTTCGACTTGGACCTTCTCCACCACTCTCGGATCTGCCGCGGCTGTGACTCCTACTCCTACTTCTACTTCTACTTCTGCTTCTGCTTTTGCTTCTGCTGCGACTTTTACTTCTACTTCTACTCCGACTGCGACTCCGTTCCTTTTCTTTCTCTTCCTTCTTATCCTTTTCATCGTCTGTACTAATGTCACTTGCATCACCAAATAATGCGTCTGCAGTTGGAGCGACACTATTTTCCTTGTCAGCTGTCTCATTCTCAGAATCTGAATTTATTATCGGTTTACTTCGTTTCACAGTTTGTTCCGTATCTGATCCGGAACTACTATGTTGCCGTTTATTCTTTGATTGTTCTTCGTCACTCTCATCGGATTTTGGACTACGATCTGTAACTAGTTGAAGAAAAAATTTCAACATTAAATAATTAATTATATATATTAATAATAATTAATAGATAATACAAATATATATAATAACTTCAAGCTAAAAATCATATTCTGAATATTATAATTAATAAAACTAAACAAACCTGTTTGTTTGAAGGATTTGTTCGATTCATTATCGCTTTTATCGTTTTTTGGACTTTTAGATCTTGATCTCTTATCATCAGATCTTTCAGAATCTGCTTTCTTCGATTCATCAAATTTCCTCGAAGATGCAGAAGAATTCGATCGTCTTTCTGTTGGACTCGCCGAACCTCCTGACTTATTACTTTTTTGAGAAGAAGCACTTCGAGATCTACGACTTTTCGGGGAATCGTAACCAGACGCATTGGATGCAGGGGAGGCCGGAGTTTTGGATTTTCTTTCCACCGATCTAGAACGTGCAGACCTTGAACTGACGGGTGACTTTGGACTCGAGGAGCGTACGCTGCCGTGTGGCGATGGCGAGCGTGATCGAGGAGACTTTGGAGAATCTGCCGAGCTATGAGAAGCTGCCGATTTTGGCGTGCCGCTCCTGGACCTCGGAGAACCGGATTTCTCACTCTGGACAGAACCCACGCTTGAACGTCTCGAGCCAGATCCAGCCGGTGATGACGGACTCCCTGATCGATGACTGCCGTCCAACTTATTCGATCCGACTGGACTCTGGCTGGTAGACCTCGAGGCGCGGCTACCGCTAGCGTTTGACGCAGGTGAAGCTGGTGCTCCGTTCTCGTCCTCGGAATGCTCGCCCCTAGCATTGCTTGACGTTTGTCTGGCCGGAGCCTGCGATGCTCGGCTACCACTACGGCTCGATCTCGAGGACGCGGAAGCATTATCAGACTCTGATCCTAAAAGCAAAATCGCGAAATCAGAGTGTCGCCCACGATAAGACATAACCTCGAGTAGATAATTAACAAATCTGTTCTGTTTAATATTGTGAATACACTAAGATATATTAATATTTTATGGAATTGCGATACCTGCAGAGGAACGATAGAAATAATACATCTGTCGATATTACGTACCAGAATCGCCGCTAGAATCACGTAAAGTTTCTCGCACCGGTGACATATTTACCATGTGTTCAAGATTGGTAAAGAAGCCACTTTAAAATAGCTCAAACCACTTAAAGAGAAATAGCTCGCACGTAGATCTCAAAAATGCATGATGCATGGGAGAAATAATGCATCAGTTATTCACCTTTCATTTTCTTCTTTTAAGAAAAATAAGAAACTAATATAATTGAGTTATACATTCCATACAGCAGTTGCTGTTAAAACCATCATGGTTAAAACTTTTTACACACTTCCATACACTTTTTTTACTTTCCTTCTCTTTCTCTCTCCAACGTAACTGTATTCCTATTTCATTTTAAGTGTAGAAAGTACAACTATGTAAAATTTTTTTTGTATCTCAAAATTCCCGAATCATAGTTTTTTCAATGTACATATCTTGAAATGTGCATCATTATTCTAAAAGTGATACAGCATATACATATGTAAAAAATATACATAAATATAATTAGAATATATATATATATATATAATTAATTATACATAAATATAATTAGTATATATATATATATATATAATTAGTATTATACTATGGTATTATACCATAGTATAATACTAATTATATATTTCCTTTTATATAAAAATAAATTTATACATATATTTAGTTACAATTATAAATATATATGTATATATGAATACATATAAGTAAATAAGTTTTACAAAACAATATGTATATGTACAAAATATATACATACAAATTACATAGCGAATTAAGCAAATAATTAGAGATATTGTTGCACATTTCAGTCACACATTGAT